TTTTAGACGGGGAGTGTGCTGGACGCCCTTTCACTTTTAACAGTATACCGCCCTCTTTAGGCGCGGGCGTTACGTTCAGCGTAGGTCAGAGTTCGCTATAACTATTATGGGCTAGAGTCTCATACGCGTACGCCAACTGCGTTTTGTATGACTGAAGATCGCTACATAAAGTCCTTCTAAAAGAACACTAGACTCAGCGAAGTAAGTTATTTTTCTGAATTTATTGACTCATGAGTTGATCAGGCCACCTTAGCTCCGAGTGTCGTAATTTGATAAGTGTATTTTTCGCAATTTCCATAAATTTTTCCGTAAGTCGTTCACGCTCGTTCGTTCAGTCAGCGATGACGTCATTTGAAATGTGATTTCTTTATCCTGTTATAGTTTTCACCGCTTTCTTGAATAAACTGGTTACCCTAACGCAACTGTGTACGAGTTATTTGGGAAGTGGTTGACACCAGTACGAGTACTAATGCACTTGGACCTCGGAATAATTAGGTTTTATTTTAGGCTTAGAAATATTTTCTTTCACTCAGCCCATGCATGTAACTGCCATTTAGCTTTACGGTCCTTCAGCATCGGGAGAAAACAACAATAATTATACAAAACACATTGCGAAGACTCAACAATCAGGAAAGAAACCCCAGACAACCCTGTCGTACTTGTGTTGAAATACATTTTGTATTTCACGTCAGAATATTGTTTAAAATAAAATATTCAGTCCAAGCCAAATCGAGGTCAAAGGGTCAGGTTGCGTGCATATAATTATATACAGTTAAAACAAAAAGTGTTTGAACTTTTGTCAGCTGTTCAACATCTATAAAAACCAGAAAGACAATTATAAGACAATGTGAACCTCGGAAATTATTCTGTTAGTCACGGTCCGAATTTTAAATGCGCGCGAGCGAGCAGGTGGGCGGTGATATTTCGGGGTTTGCGCGGTCGAAAATAAAGCGGAAATTGTTCGTCGAATTCAACAAGCGGTTGCAAAAGCGAGAGAAAAAGGTGATTGGAAAGCGAAAGCGGGTGGGAGGTTGTGCGAAAGGAGTACTGTAACTTTGCACAACTTTCTTTTAAATCGTTTTATTTTCAAGTCAATATTCTATTTTACTAATAATTTTTTTTTCTAACGCAATGGCGAAGAAAAGAAAGAAAGCGTTGACAGACGAGGCAAAGAAAAATCTGCCACTCAGTGTCGCACTCTGACACAGCAATTTTTTTTTCAAACATCGGCCATTTTGTTTCACCATGAAAACCGTTTTATTAGATGTCTTATCTCAGACACTTGAAGGATTAGCTTGTTTGTAAACTGTCAGCGTGTACAGTGGGACAGTAATGTTTGTCAGAGGATTATCCCTCGTTGTTCGTTTGCATAACAATG